TAAATTACTTATATAGTTTATAGAAACAATATGCATATACTATATAAATTAATAAAGTATATAGTTAACAAAAACCCTAAACCCTAAACATAAAAAATAATTAATACATGTAATGTAACCTATAGTATATGTATACATGTAAACTATATATGTAACTTATAGTACATTTATGTATAAATTATGTATAGTATATATAAACTATGTATATATATAACCTATAGTATATGTATATATACAATCTATTTATATGTTATATAAACTATATATGTAACCTATAGTTTATAATCAATAATTTATATTAGTGTACTATATAGTTTATACTTTATAACCTATAATATATAATTTATAAACTATAGTTTATATTAATATACTATATAGTTTATATTAATGTTAATTATCTTAACTATAATTTATGTTAATATAGTTTATAGTTTATAAACTACACTATATTAATATTAATTATATTAACTATAGTTTATAAACTATACTATATAATTTATAACATATATTTTATATTAATATTAACTTTATAGACTATATTTTATATTAATATTAATTACAAATTATAAAATATATTATATTAATATAATTTAATATTAATATTAATTATACTAATATTAATTATAATATATAATTATAAATAGTTTATTAATATAAATTTTATAAAGATAAGATTAAAAAATGGCGCCAAAAGTAGCCATTTTCTCCCTTTCCCCCGGCCAAACCCTACCTCCTTTATTTTCAATCTCTCTTCTTCCTCGCTCAGCATCCAAAACCTCTCCCTTTTATCTCATTTTTCCTCTTTCATTGTTGTTTCCATTTGCCTAGTTGTATAGTTGTTCAATTAAGTTATTACTGTTGTTATCTTCTGTGCTTTCTGCTTCTGTTTTCAGTCTCTCAGAACTCGTGTGGCTGCCAAGGCTGAAGAAAAGAAATGTAAGTTGTCGGGGTTCTTCGATAAGGAAGTTTACGATATCATCAACGGAGCCGCCACCGCCGCCGAAAACCCTTCCTCGATCATGGCTCCGGATTTGGCTTTGACTCATACTCCCGCGGCGCAGGACGTGGTGGAGTATGCCGAGATTGTTTTCTATAGCAGAAGGAGCGCGACAGCTGAGGACGGGCTGTTTTCGGACTTCAAACAGGACGACGGTGGGGGGAGGCCGAAAAAGTTGGAGCATGCGCTTGACGCCGACACCGGAAAGGCTTTTCCAGCTCCTATCCCTATATCAGGTAATCAAATTCTCATACCACATACAAATACTACTATACTAATATTGATCACTAGCAATTGTAATTAGTGATTAACCTTTGAATCATTGGTTGATTCTGTTTGCTTTTGTTTCTTCATATTTTACGATGATTTGATTGGATTTCTAAATTCTAAAATAGGTTTTCTTTAAGAGAAAGAACTTTGCTTTAATGGAGGTGTTTGAGCACTGTTGGAAACTCTTTTTAGTCTTTTTCTATATGTTCTTTATAGCAGGAATCTTTAACATTTTATGAGGAGGAAGGGTAGGGTTCTCCAGATCTCCAGAAATCGAATCGATTGTAAACAAATGTCAACTAAAAATTTGATACAAGTGTATGAATCTACTCGATTTGATTCGAAAACAGTCGACTCAATACAATCACCGGATATCGAAATCTTCATCAGGAGGGAATAGGAGTATGAAACTCAATATGATTATCTGATATCCTATATCGGAATCTTCAGGGAATAGGAGTATGAAACTCAATATTTATTTAACAATAGGTATTAATGTTCTATTCTGGTTTTGAATATGAGAGTCTCTAGTTATTTTCAGCTGTTTATTTAGTGGATCAAATGGCAAATATCTTACGCTATGAATATGTGCTCTTTTTTGTTATGCAATTGTTGATCGTTGCAGATAGCCGGGGAAGATTGGTTGCTGGGTCATTTCAGGGTTACACATGGCATGTGGATGGAAAGTCGAGTGATGCCCGTTTCTATCACCCCAAAGGTGTAACCATGGATGATAAGGGAAATGTATACGTTACTGATATCATGAATCTTGCTATTAGAAAGATAGGAGATGCAGGTATTGACCGATAATGATAAAGAGTAGATTTAAAGAAAAAAAACCTTGATTATTAAGTTGAATTTTCTTCATAAATTTATGTGCAGACTTTAAAATAACTTTAGCTATCGAAGCAACTCTAAGCATTGTTGATTGAAATCCTTGATTGTCAATTTACAGCATGGAGAAAAGATAATGGAGTTCAAAGTTGAGAGGACCCATTGTAGATTAGTTTCTAACGTAAAAAGATGGTTTGACTTGGAATTATTTGCTGGTGTCACAACTACTGCTGGAGGAAAGTCTAATGTTGCAGGATATAGGGATGGGTCTAGTGAGGATGTAAAGTTCTCGGATGATTTTGATGTGGTATATGTTCGACCGACCTGTTCCTTGTTATTTGTTATTTATCGATAGAGGAAATGCTACTCTATTTATCAGCTAGCTTGGAGTTGATATGTGCAATAGTAAGTGGCCCATGCTGTTTCCTTCCATTTCTGATTTTTCTAGGTGCATTTGTTTTTCTGTCTAAATCCTTAAGTCTATTTGAAATTTAGTGTGATTCTCTGTTGTGGTTGTGCTGAAGTTTTGGTTTGGTTATATGCTTTGTTTGGATAACATATATGTTTTGTACTTTCTGTTTCTTGTGAATTGCTTTGGTTATGTCGCTTGCACTAGAGTGGACTGGAGCTCGGTAAGATTGATGGTGCCAGGGATTTCCAAGCTTCTGTGGTTTGCATCTCTTTAGCCAATGATGGTGAGGATCCCGGTTTAAATACTTATTGTATAATTCCCCTATTTCACTTGGAGGCTTTGTTTTTGGCTATGTTTGGGATGCGTTCTGCAGTTTTAGCCCTTTATTTCGGCTGAATGATGGTCTTCATGGGTGTGTGGCTATTATTACGAGTGAAAGAGTATTTTTAGTGCTTATCTATAGGAGTGGATTTACCCAACTGTACGTGGTCCCCGTAGTCTGTGCATGGTTACAATGCTTGTGCATGGTTACAATGCTTGTGCATTGTTTGTTTTACAAGGTTTTAGAATTGAAATAGAGCTACAGTGCATCTAACATTCCTAGGGGTGGAGTGTTTTATTTCAATAGGTGAATGGTTGTTGTGAAGGGGATTGTTGTGGTGAATTCGTTCGTTTGTAAGTTTGGTAATTATAAGGTGCACTCTTTTTATTTCACTTAGGTTTAGTGTGGTTTTTTAACGAGACTCTTATTGTTGTGGGGTGTTTTATATGACTATTAAGGCTTAAATTAAATACGCAGGAAAAAAGTATAAAAACAATTTTAGCACTAAACTTTATTCAAACAAAAATGAAGGGATTACTTTTTATTAGTTATTCTTTGGCTAAATATTCTCGATCCTTAATCTCGAGTATGTTTCTAGTTGCTTCTCAATATCCTATGTGGTTCTCATTTGTTGAATCTCAATGTAGGCTTTATGTTTGAATTGTAAGGGTTTGATAAAGTCGGAAATGTTTGACACTGTTGGCCATCGAATTCCCTTTGGCTTTACCACTGATTGTATGTTTTTTTAATGTAGGATGGTTGCTGAATTGATGCAATGATGGTTGCTGAATTGATGCAATGATACTTGCTGAATTGGTACATTGATGTGTGTCGGTTGCTGCTGTCTATTACTCACTAATGCCTTGTAAATTATTGTTGTTGGTCTTATTTAAATCAATTTTTGAACCTTATAAATTCTTATCTAAATAGTTACTCATGTGGAATTATGTTGGTGACATTTTGGCACATGCTGGCATCATTTAGGTGTAAAGGCTCGATGATGATATTTCTGGTAGTTTAGTTAGGTTTTTAACCTTGTAAAACCTTAACTATAAGATCTGAGAGCATTTATTCCAACATAAATTTATTTTGTTTAGTTGATTTTATTGTAATTTTAGTGTTTGCAAGTGTAATAAAATTAACTTCATTTATAATTTTTTTGATTTAGTATTTGTAATGTTATTCAAGTTTCAAATCTTTAATAAGTTCATCATTTCAACTAATATCTTTTTATTTTAAAATTTCAAGTTAAGTTATACTTAAATTATTAATCAATTTTCACATTAAAAGTAAATTAGATTTATGAATATTTTAACTTAATTTATATAATTTAATAAAATTATGTTCAATAAGACAATATTTAAATTTAATTTGGTGATTATAAATAAAATTTATAATATAAGAATTATAAATAATATAAAGAATTTGAATTAATATAAAAATCAAATTTATAATATACAAATTATAATATAAGAATTATAAAAAATATAAAGAATTGTAATTATTATAAAAACTAAATTTAATTATCATAAGTTTATTATAAATTTAAAATAATATAATTATATTAATTGTAACTTATTACTTATAAGTCAGGATAATATCAGATCACTTTAACAACGTGTCAGATCATTTACAGGTTGAATCAATTACATATTAGGTTCATTACATGTTAGGTTGAAAATAGGTCGGGTAATACCAGTTATTTACTAGGTCAATCTCGAGTTCGGGTTCATATTAGTAGGATGCAGTTCGGATTCGGGTATCATATTTTCGGTTCAATTCGAGTTCAGGTCGTTCTCAGGTCGGGTTCAAATCCACAATTTCCAGGTCCAACTGGGTTTCAGGTCAACACCAGTTCCGACTCGAATCGATTTTGGATCGCCACAACACATATCAAAAACAATTTTAACTCGAGTCAGTTTTACAGGTCGGGTCAACTTTTTACACCCTACTCGTAAGTAACGATTGTGTACCGACTCCGGTAGGTTCATCCTAAATAGGATCTTCTTCACTCATTACATACTCACAGGAAGAAGGAACATCTATCTGTATATAGATCTGTTTTACCGGATAAGCAAAACCTAAAATTCTCTGAGAACATGCCACTTGTCCACTCCAGCAATGCGGCGTTGCATTATTTTGTCAACAATCCTCTCCCGTTGGGAAGTCCGACCTAACACATGGGACTTCCAGTGTCCGTTTTCAGTCAATATACTGGGTCAGAATTTTCTCTGGAAAATATTTGAAGCCAAATAGAAACAAGTATACTTTTTTTATTGATATATCAACGGTATGAAACTTAGGTCTCCGCCTGAAATGAAACGGTTTCGTTGATTAAAAAGACAGACAGACAAAAAACATAATCAAAGTGCAGAGCAAACCTGCTCTTTGAACTTCGAAATGTTTATACCCACACATATTCACGTGTTTCTTCATATCCAAGTTTGTTTCAGATTCACGTGTTTTTTTAGAAATAAATTTTCAATTACATTAAAAATAAAACTCAAAAGCCTAATAATTCCCACACAACTATATTTAGAGAAGGTAATCCTTTATTTTGGCAAAAATGAAAAGAGTCTTTCTTTTTATTTCCCCTCTTACTACACGATTCCTCCTCTCTGTGTGTGTTTCTCTTAAAATAAGAACGAGAAGATGAACGCAACAAAGAATATGCAGCTATGCGAGGTTGAAAATGTTGACGAAATTAATTAATTAAGTGGGAGGGGAAATGGAATAAGGTTGAGCCGTTCAAAATGGCGACGATCCCGGTGAAATTCTCGAAAAATCATCAGTGATCGATATATTTATCGATCTAACACCGATCAGATTATATTTCTCGATCTAACACCCGTAACATTAAAGCGCGCCCCTGCCCCGCGCTATAAGCTGACATAGCGCGGATCAGAAGCCGCGCTATACCTAGTTATCTGACACGTGGGGTATAGCACGGTACAGGGGGCGCGCTATACCTTTAATTACCCACCCGTCCACACCCCAATCCTCCATATAAATACATTCATCCTCAATCACTTTCATCACACCAAATTCTCTCAATTTCTCTTAAATACTCTCTGTGTGTATATTTTATAATATTTTTAATATTATGTATTTAATTTATTTAAGTATTTTACTTTATTTAATATTTTACTAATATAATTTTTTTGCAGATATATAATGGAAGACAGTCTACTTCGCTTGAATAGAAATCATATATCTCGACACTTTGCTGATACGGTAACATTTTAACGTTTTAATTTAATTTAAATTATTAATAATAATTAGTTGATTTATTTAATGCATGATTATTAGATTGAGAATTAATTTTTGTAATTATTTATTTTTAGGAGAAGGACCGTGTATTAGATCCTTTTATTAGGAATCTTAAGTTAGTGATACTTAGCTGTGTCTTGCCGTATTTAGTAGAGGCTGAATTTGGTTACATAGGTAGATATCAAGGTCACTGTAAGATAGAACCATACCTTATTTCTGCCTTAGTAGAGCGGTGGAGGTCGGAGACCCACACATTCCATCTTCCGTGCGGAGAGTGCACGATCTCGCTTGAGGATGTTTCTATATACCTGGAGCTTCCGGTGGATGGAGATGTGATATTAGGGATAACTTCCAGTTCTTGGACTCTTTATGTCGGGATAATCTAGGACGTGTCCCGGAAAGTTTTATCAGAGGTAGGATACCGTTAAATTGGTTATATGCCAATTTTCGGGAGTTGAGCGCATACCCCTGTGAGGATGATGTTAAGATGTATGCACGGGCATGCATATTGCAGTTGATAGGAGGGCTGTTGATGCCGGACAAATTGCGCAACCTAGTTCACTACATGTGGTTGCGACATCTTAGTGACTTTCGTCTCACCGGATCATTCAGTTGGGGCTCGGCAGTTTTGACTTTGTTGTACAAGGAGATGTGTGAAGCCACTGACTACAGGCGTAATGCTATCGGTATATGTCTCCTACTGTTGCAGTCTTGGGCATGGTGTTGATTGCCCTTTTTATGTCCCGTTGTGAAGAACCCATTCGTATTTCTACTACTTATGAGGTAATTATAAAACTGATTTTGTATATTAATAATTTTATACAACGTATAATAATTTTTTTCTTTGAATAGGTGGTCTACTGATAGGAAAAATCATCAGGAGCTACCTGATGATTTAGAAAAAATTAGGGTGCTAATCGATCAGAAGGCTGACACACAGGTATGAATTATAATGTTTAAAAATCGATTTTAGATTATAGTTATATAATTATATTATTATTTTGATAAAAAATATATATTATTTGTTTTAGTTTGAATGGGTGTCATATTCTACTGATGATGTGAGGGCGGTGATCCCACCTGAGTTGAGGGGTCCATCAGATGTTTGGATGGCTATAGTCCCTCTGATCTGTTATGCGACCGTCGAGTGGCACTCCACTGATCGTGTGCTCCGACAGTTTGATTGTTTTCAACCAATTCCGGAAGCACCTTGCAATATGGACGAGTTGCATAGCTTAGATAGACGCGGCAAGAAAGATACAGATTGGCTGGTGAGGCATCATGAGTGGGTCGTGCTGTGGGAGGATCGACATCGGCGCCTTCCGCGTAGAGAGTCCATTTTTACTGACTTCTTGATGAATGCTGAGGATTATTATGAGTGGTTCAACAGTAACGGGAAACTGTTTCTACTTCCCGAGGATACACGAGGGCAAACCTTTTCATGACATCAACAGAGACGTTCACCGACACAGCATCATCGTCCCCCTACTCGTAGACGGAGAGCAGGTGCTTCCGGTTCATCCTCAGCTGCACCAGTAGGACCTTCACATCAGCCACCGCAGCCATTTATGATGCCGCAGCCATATATGATACCGTCATCGCCTTTCCATTACCAGATGTTGCCGTCGCCGCCTTCACATGGTTTTATGACCTCACCGCTGCCACCGTCACAGATGACCCCTTCTGGAGGCTATTATGGGTCTATATTTGCAGATTTGACTTGGGGTTCATATGCTGGATATTTGGCGGGTTCAGCCTCATCACCCATGGCCGCAGCACAGACACCTCCTGTACAGTTTTCACACTCAGCGATGTATGGGTTTTCCCAGTTTTCGCAGGCGGTGGGATAGTCAGTCATACACCTCCAGGGTCCTTATTATATGGAGGTGCTTCATCGTCATCAGCTCCTCATCAGCCTAATGTACCTGCTCAGGACAACGACGACGACGACATCGAGGAGTCAGAACTAGTGATACGAAGAAATCCTCCTCGAGACCGACAGCCACCGCCCTGCGGAACACATTCACGACGCATGCATCGATAGATTTTTTTATTATATTTGTATTTACTTTATTTTGTTTAATTGTAATCTTTTATTATTTCTCATTTAATACTTACTTTATTTTGTTAAATTTGTTGGACTTTTTTTAATATATTTTAGTTAAATTTGTTTATTACCATTTAATATCAGTTACTGTAATTTGGTTATCATTTACCATTTAATTATTATTGTAAGTTTGTTGTATATAAATACCAAATTGTTATTAGTTTGATAAAATTTAATGATTGTGTTCGTTTTTTTAATCTTCATCAGCGATTATCGAATGACATTAACTTGAAGTAAATGCAAATTATAATACAAGAATTATTATTTGATAAACAAATACATCATTTCCTCATCAATTGTTACTTGATGACAACAGAAGTGAACATGTTTTTCTAGTGTGTCTTGGGTTTCTACAATGGCCACATATTCTGTATTGTCTAGATCTTTCTCGAATATCCATATCGCAATGAATTTGATTGGATTTTGGACGACCACGCTCCCTCAATAAACTCGAATTTGGTACAATCGGAAGCCAATCTTGAACCTCATCAGGGTCTTTCTCATTACCTATGGGGGAAAACTCAAATTCGTATACCTTAAAAACTTCATATAGTAGGTATACGAGATCTACAAAATGGTTATAGTCTTGACGTGTATGAGAGCAAGCTGCTATCACATGAGAGCATGGATACTTCAGAGCTTGAAAAAACCCGCAGTCGCACGTTTTATCCCTTAGATTTACTCTTAACGACAGAACTTCAATCCCTTGAAGAGGTCGCGACAACTCTGTGACACGAAACATTTCATGCCTTCTAGAGAAGCTTGTTACAGACATTACATTTGATGCAGTAATTTTTTTCTATAGATCTGCAACTAATCTAGGGTGATAGACATGACCGCCTTGCATCCAGGCTTGAGCTTGTCCCCCAAGCTTCACAAAAAGTGCCCCCAAACGAAAATATATAGTTTTTACCAAAGCCTCTACAGGTAAGTGACGTGCACCCTTTAAGGTTGAATTGATTGCCTCAGCCAAGTTGGTCGTCATGTGTCCATATCGATATCCACCATCATATACGTTCGTCCACATTTCTTTATCGATGAGGTTGATGTAATCATATCCTTCCTCGTTCTTCGCCCGTAAATCTTGAAGCATTAATTCAAACGTTCGAGGAAATAGTTCGTAACCTGATCAAAAAATGTATAACTTATTAACTTGCTTTCTTTGCAAAATTAAAATGATCAAAAAATGTATAACTTACTAACTTGCTTTCACTTACCCATGCGTACAATTAATTGACGCTAATCATTCTTCTTGTACCTTCCATGATAGTTCGCAGCAATGTGTCGGAGATAATACCTATGTTGGACAAAGGGTGGTTGCCACATTGAACCCAAAGACTCCATTGCTGCTTTGATCCCAGCTCTGCGATCTGAAATGACACAAATGTTTTCCCTCGTGATAACATGTGCACGTAAATTTCGGAGGAAAAAAGCCCAAGAATCTGTATCTTCTCATTCGACAAGAGCAAAAACAACTGGAAGAATGTTGCGATTGCCATCTTGGACAACTGCCAATAATAAAACTTGCTTGTATTTTCCATACAAGAAAGTCTCGTCGATCTGGACCACAGGCTTGCAGTATTTGGCAGCATTAACGCATTGTGGGCAACTCCAAAAAACCCGGTAGAATTGGCTTCGATCGCGAAGAACTCGATCATTATGGTATGCATAGGAGGTTTAAAAGTCCATAATTATCCCAGGATTCAACGTCCGCACTAGCCTAAACCAACCTGGAAGTTCGTTGTAAGATGCATCCCAATCGCCATGAAGTTTGACAATGGCATTTTGTTTTGCCAACCAAGCTTTTTTATAGGAGACAGTGTACTCATACTGCGATTGTATAGCTGAAATCAACACTGCAACAGTTATATGAGAGCTTTCTTTTACGATGGGCATGATGGCTTGGCATATCATTTCAGAGTCCAAGCTGGGATGATCTTGGTTGACCCCTCCAGCACAACATGTGTGAGGACCGTTGTATACTGTTAGTTCCCATACGTTGTTTTTCCTCTTCATTTTCGACACGCGAACCATCTAATTGCATCCGTTTTCGCGTCGGGCACAGTATCATACATATTTTTTGGTCGTTGATCGATCGACTCTGGACTGAACAGAATTACGGATATTGTAATTTTTGATAGTTATCATCGCTTCTTCTTTGCTTGAAAACTCCATGCCTAAAGATAACTTACCATTATTTATTGATGAGTAATATCCATAGTCACCGAGATGAGGCATATCCGCAAATTCTGGCCCGTACATTGCACCATAATCAGCTTCATATATGTGTGCAGGAGGGTCAGTTTGTGTCACATTTCCTGGAACTTCATCTACATCATCATCATCAGAGTTGAATTGCGGTGATTCTGGGTGAATGAATAGTCCGGTCTCAGCACCATCCGCACCAGGCTCACGAAGCGGTTCTTCTGGTGGAGATGATGGTTCCTCCATGCGCTCTACATTTAGGTCGAAGAACCTACTACTTGCATGTCTTCCCCTTGAACTAGAAGGCATATCGACATTGAGATTGAAAAAGCTCGCAGTCGAATGCCTCCCCCTGGAGCTTGAAGCCGTCGTGTCAAATGGAATCTGCACAAATTGTTGCGTCGATGACATCTCCATATTAAGGTTAAAGAAATTTGCAGATGAATGTCTTTGCCTTGAACTGAACGCGGTGTTTCCATATGGATTGTTCGTGGACCCACCTCGGTACATATCGTAAGGAGTTGCAGATGAATGTCTCCCCATTATGGCATTAAAATCATTACACATTACTGTAGTCGGGCTGTCAACTTGATCAACTTGTTCAGCCAGCCCATAGTGAGAACTTAATGATTAACCCCGAACAGTACGCACTTGAACAAAATGTATACATCTCAATAGCGACGTCTGAATAATTACTTTGAGCTTCAACCATAATTTGAACATCATCATTGTTCGAAAGTTTGAACGCTGTATAATTTAATGGCAACAATGATGTTGGAAATCTATACTGCAACGACGACATTCTTCTACTACTTTCAACTTGAATCTTCCTCGAAATCTTCGTTATCAGCTCCTCAAGAGTTATATTTCTCTTGAATGATATTTTAACACTCTCATTTGATACGAAAACAACGTCGGTTTCATCTTCTCGAATTTCACCATCATAATAAACAATAGCTGAAAGTCGCGTCATTCTTTGAGTTTAAAAGTGCGGCAATATTATATCTGCAAAAAAATAACTGAAACAAACCTGATTAAATAAATTATATATGAACGAAAATATAACACAATAAATTTTTTACACATCAACGTAAATAATTTAAATAATATAATTTTATATTATTACTTGCACCGTACAACTATTTTGACGTATGCTCCCGCTTTTCAATTTTACAAACATAAAAATTAATTGAAAATAATTAGTATAATATTTTTTCAAATAATGATAATAAACAATAAGTATAATTAAAAAATTATAACAAAATTACCTTATAACGAAAAATCGCACGAACTTCTAAATCAAATATGAGAAGAATGCCATAATTATTACTCGTTGACGGAATTGTTGTATTAATTTATAAGTTGAGAGGAGAGATGCGAGGAGATGTGAGAAACTTAACAGACAGAGGAGGGTATTTCTAACCATATAAGGCGCGTACCTGCACCGCTCTATATGTAATTATTCAGATAAAAGATATAGCGCGGACCAGGGACCGCATTAAATATAATTCACCCCTACGTGGCGGATAGCGCGGCCCCTGATCGCGCTATACCCTACGAGCGTATAGCGCGGATCAGGGGGCGCGCTATACGCATGTGTAATCCATGTCAATGTATAACGCGGTACATGGGACGCGTTATACCCCACGTGACGCTAAATTAACATATAACGTGATTCAGGGGCGCACTTTACTGTTACAGGTATTAGATCAAAAAATATAATCTAATCGGTATTAATCGATAAATATATCGATCACCGATAATTTTTCGAGAAATACACAGACGATCCCTGCCTTTTTTTATTCTTTTTCCACGCTGTTTTTCTGCAGGAAAAGAAAGGATATAATAGGAGTAGTGAAAGAAAGAAAGGATGATAATGCTTCGATATTCGAACAACACATGGGCCACTGTCGGTGATTTTTCTTTTCAGTGGTGGCCTCACTCACTGACCTATATATATATATATATATATAGTAATTTAGGGATTCACGTGAAGGTGATCATCATCTGCAATTAGAAAATGCCCGATAGCCATCGTCATCGTCGTCAATCCCAACCCAAATTCATCTACGGATCTGTTTTAGTTGTCAATCTTTTACTTGTACACTCATCTTTCCCAGTTCTCACCTCATTACTCGTTAATCCTTTTTTAATTTATTATATTTTAAAACACGTTTCATTATCACAATATTTACTCATCACTGTTACTTTTTTTGGTTCCATTATTTTCATCGACTAATAAATTTAATTATATATTAAGTTATAAAAAGAAAGAAAACTAAAAAACAATTGATAAATTTATTTTAATAAATATAAATGAATGAGACATATGAGGATAAAAAATAAAAATATTTAGTAAAATTTTTAATAACATATTTTAAATAAAATAAATTTAAAATTTTTAAAAAGATAAATCTAATAAGACAAGAAGATAAGTATCAAATATTTAGTAAAAAAATATCAGATATGATATGACTATACTTAATTTAAAAATTATTTTGTCAATGAAATATTAGTTTTCTTTGTTATCGAGATTTTAATATTTAAATTTTATATTATTTAAACATTAATTTAAATTTTACATAATATTAGTTTGATTTTTATTTTTATTTAGATATATCTCAACTCTTAAAATAAAGGTTTATATTATAAATAATTACTTAAAGTATATATTTTTCTCCAGATAAATATCTAAAATATTTTTATAGAAATAAGTATTTAAATTTATTTTTTAAGTAAAATAAGTAACTAAAATATTTATTTTTTATGTAAATTCAAAAAAGTTGACACCTAACATTAAAAAGTAAATACTTTATATATTATTTTAATAAGAAAATATTTTAAATAATAAAAAATAAATATAAATACTTATTTTAATAGAAAATATTTTAAATACTTAAATAAAAAAAATATAATATGCTAATTTATGATATAGGCCTAAAATAAATAAATGGAACATTTGAAGTCTACAGAAAGACAATACGAATCGTAAGGAGATCATAGCATATCATGCCCATAATTATCAACAATCCATCAGACCGTTCACACTATCATTCGTGGACCCCACTTGTAACATAGAATATTAAAAAAAGGGTTTATAAAACAGTCTGTAGAGTGGGAACCACTTGAACAAAACCTGCCCCGTCCCGCGTCTTTCTGATCTAATCATCTGATGTGATCATTTTCTTATTAAAATCTTTAATTTTCAACCGTTCGATCAAGTAAATAAATATTTTTTTCATAAACACTAATCCAAAAATTCCCTCCCTAACTCCACTTCCTTGTCACTTTGACTCTCTAGTTTCTCCCGCATGCAAAACAAAGAAAAAAACAAGAAAAACAACTGAAAAAAGTTTTTCCATTTAGCTTTTCTTTGCAGGCTCTCTCCATGCTTCGGCCTTGAGCTTTTGGATTCTTTTTATAACCAAAAAAGCTAAAAGAGGGATGAACTTGGGATTTTTCTTTTAGTTCTGAAAGTTTACTTTTTTACGAGAAGATTCACCATTGCTTCCAGCGTTTCTTGTTTTAATCTCTCTCTCTTTAGCGCCTCTGATCTTCTTTTGTTTCGCCAGTTTTCTTTGTAGTTCTCACTGTCCAATGCGCCGCCGACACGACGTTCTTATTCTTCTTCTTCATCAAGGTGTTCACGTTTTCCGTTACTGACCGCCATTTCGTTCTGCATTTCCTGTACTCAGACTGGTATTTATCTTCCTCCCACAGTCACTCGGACTGGAAAGTTTTGAACGCTTGACACATCAAACAAGGATTTCTTTCATTTTTATTTTCTTTTGCCACGAACCAAATCTAATTTTCGGAAGCACTGTTGTACTCATGGAGTGATTTGTACTTCTCCTAAAGCAGAAGAATTTGTGTTTAATAATTTAATGTAGTGAACGAGTCCCTTAGTGTTTCGAAATTTGAATTGAAAAATGATTGCGCCTGTTATTTTGCTTAAGCTTATGGCGAACTTGTCGTTTCTATTAAACTTAAGTGGATTTGACGATGACTCTTCATATGTACCTTATCTGAAGAATTACTTTCATGATTTTTTTGTTTTACTTGTTCGTATGGACCACTCACTCTCCAATTCTTTGCAAACTACATATATCAAGATTCTATTGTTTCGTTTCCAATCTTGTCTTCATCATCTTCTATTAGTTTGTCAACTTTGAGCTCTGAAAAAGTTGAGAATCTTCGTTCTTTAAGACTTGAACTATTTTGGGGATCTTTTGGTGGAAATTCTCAGTCGGGGTGTATTTTGCAGTAAATTTGTTTGTTTGAAAGTGATTTGAGGATTTTAGCTGTGTTTACTGGGAATTAGTACTCACTACATAATCTGGAAAATTTGCATGAAAAAAGAATTCACGGCTTTTACTGTTTAGTTACAAATCATGGCAATTTGCAGTTGATTTGAGCAGCTTCCAAGTGTAGTTGTATTTCACTTATGATTTGTAGTAAGTTTGATGACTAAGCTTCATACTATGATAGAAGTATTACTTGTCAAGCAAGTTTATGATTTAATTAATTCGTTGTTGCAATCTTTAATTTTGTAATGATAATGGCAGGGATTCAGATGTTTCCTTCGCATCACCTCACATACTGGGATTTAGTTGTCACCTTATGTGCATTTATATCAAAGGTATCATTTCTTTTGGTTTGAAGACATACATTGGGGGATCTGCAGGTGATGAAGGAGGACAATACCTTAAATTGTATGGAGGATTGATGACAAAATCTCAGTATGTGCGATTGTGCGGTCATGCCGGGGAGATCTCCAAATTCTGTTCTTTACAAATTTAGACATTTACACATCTAGCTTCGTTTTTCTTATGCATTAATGGATAATGAAGTCAAGGGATTATGATAAGTGCCTGTTACTGTTATAATCATTATAGAAAGAAAAAGAAAAGAAATATTTTATGTTGAAGACTGTTTAGCTATTAAATGGTAATGAATTGCTGAAAATGTTGATACAACTAAGATTTTTTCTTGTGGATATGTCACAATGTCATCATGGCTAAGACTTAAATGAATCAATGCTTGCTGCTTTAGGACTTATGTTCTCTTAGTTGCTGCAGTTGCCAAACTTTAAAATTCTCACTTGTTTCCAGAACCTTGTTCTACAATGCATGTGATACACTAGTTGTTTTCAATTTCTGATATGATTGTAATATTTTTTTCCAATGTTTGTTTTCATCTCCACAGTGGCCTGCTTCAATTTGAACAGAGTCGAAAGTGTGCAGCTAAAAGGATCTGAAGTGATTAAAGACCTCTCCAGTCTATGGAAGTTATTTAGAGCTTAGGAAGAATTCAAGAGAGATTAATCCTTTGGAATTTATGTAAAGACCATGTTACCCCAATCAAGCCATAGGGAAAATATTCAAGGCAGGTTGTCATATGCTGATCTCCATAATGAGATTCTGAAAGGTGGAAAAGAGGTGTCAGTTGATTGTTCGTTGAAGCACAAAAAGCAACATGCTGATATCATGGCAAATGAAGAAGATAAGCTTGTGAAGTTTATGCCAAATCTACCAAGTTACCAGCAGAGTGCAGCAAACCTCCAAGAAAAAGTTTTAAATGTTGGTGTCCTTCAGTGGGGGCGCCTGGAAAAATGGCAGTGTAGCCATAAGCAGATCTTATATAGAAGTAGTATCTCTTCATCCTGCAGCAACACATCTTCCTCGTTTTCAACAGATGAATCACCGGCCCATTCAAGCAGAGGTCATAGTTGGTCTCCTGCCCGTCAAAGGTTACAACATCCTTCCCTGCAATCTCATCTGATGTTAGTCCCTGTAGAAGGCCATTTTCCATTTGTCAAAACTTCTAGGGAAATTGTTGGAAAGTTTCAAGAACTCAAGGCTTCTGAGAGCATCAGCTTTGCGGCTCAAGGAAAATTCATGAGAGAAGATAAATCATTTTGCAAAAGTAATCCACGAATGAAGCTTGAAAAATACAAGAAAAGAGAAATACTCCCAAAGGTTAGTTCAGCAAGTTTAATGGTGTCAAATGGGGCAAAAGATAATGCGGCATCATATAATAAGGTGAAAATGAAGAACCAAGTTGGTGAACTTATGAAGAAAGCTGAGGAGTTTCAAGAAGTTATTCCAAACGGGGATAAGCTAAATGTCACTGAAAAAAGAAACACAGTTGTCCTCCTTTTGCCCATAGATTTTCCCGAAATGGATCATTCAGGAGCAGGTGACCTTTCTAATTTGACAACAAAGTCAGGTAAAAAAGAATCAGAACCTAGTCAGAGGACCTTCCTGGAAACATCTAAAGAGGTTCAGCATGCAGCAGTCAGCTCCGATTTGCATCATTCGGGCCCATTGCCTCGTGAGCTTGATGGCAGTAGACATTTACAGATTAAAGTGATGGGTTTCGATGCAAGTGGTAGCAACATTTTCATCAGAAAGATCTTGTTCTGTACCTTGTGCTACTAGGATTGAAAGTAATTCTTCCAGAAGCATAAATCTTGAGGAGAGAAAGTCAAATGTAACACCCGTAAAGCCTTCTTCAAATGAGGCTTGCAAAGGACCAGACCCAAAAGGAAGCAAGGTTGCATATGAAAAAGTTCGAAGCACTTCACCTTTCCGTCGTTTTAGCTTCAGAAGGGGTAAGGCAGACAAAGTTTCTGGGCCCAAAGAGGGTTCTTGTATACCTCAGGCAGGCTTAACATGTAGTTCTGGCAAAACTGGTTTACAAAATCCTCAGAATTCCGTTACTTCTGGTGTTGATACTTATTGTGGTGAGAATCTCGATGCTAAAAGCAGAGGCAGGTCCAGCCCTTTGAGAAGATTATTAGACCCGCTTCTGAAACCCAAGGCAGTTAATTGTCGCAATTTCACCTACCAATTACAAGATTCAATATTACCAGATGGTTCCTTTAAGTCATCTGAACAGCTTAGACATTCAGCTTTGCCTGTGCAGTCAGCCAAGGTGAAATCAGATACAACAAGCCATTGCACAAGCAATGTAAATGATTTAGCACAGAACAAAAAGTGTGGAGCTTCAGCAGTTCAGGCACTTCTCAGAGTTCAAGTTAAGAATGGGTTGCCTCTGTTCACATTCGCTGTTGATAACGAGAGTAATATTATCGCAGCTACAGTGAAGATGTTAAGTGCCTCAGGGAAGGGTGATTATGGATGCATTTACACGTTCTTTGCTATTAAAGAAGTCAGAAAAAAGAACGTAAGGTGGATAAATCAGGGAAAAGGTCAGGATTATGTCCCTAATGTTGTTGCCCAGATGAAGGTCTCTGGTTCTCAGTTTTCTCATTTGTCCAGGCCAAAATATGTGGATCAATTTAGCATCAGAGAATTTGTTCTTCTTACCTTACAGGCAAATCCACAAGTATCTGATTTCCAGTCAAGTAATGAGCAGGCAGCTATCGTTGTCAAGATCCCAAAGAGGAACAGAAAAATTTCAATCAGAGATGGGTATCTGATCGATAAGCGTAACAACTTGGCCGAGGCTACATCGAAAGAGCTTCAACCAGGGATGAAACTTGAATTTGATTCTGGGAAAATCGGTCCTTCTGTAGGCAGTCAAGACATTAGTGCTACAGTCATACTTCCAAGTGGTGTACATAGTTTGCCAAATAAAGGTGAACCTTCATCGCTGATCCAACGATGGAAATCAGGAGGAGGATGTGATTGTGGTGGTTGGGATTTAGGTTGCAAACTCGGGGTTCTTTCTAATAAGAGCCAATTCAGTCAGCAGTCTAGTTTTGAACTTTTCTTTCAGGTATGTTTTTGTTGGTCTAATGCTCTAATTAAACTTAACATGCCCACTGCATTATATTGAAAATGTTAGCTGAATTCTCTCTATGTTCTAATTATAACCAACAGGGAGGAGCTCAAGACAAGAAGCCTTTTTTCAGCATGGCCCCTTACAAGGATGGGATCTATTCAGTTGAGTTCGATTATTCACTTTCACTTATGCAAGCATTTTCCATTTGTATAGCAGTTTGGGATAGTAGGAAACACAATGAGCTTTCAGAATCAGAACCAGTTGCCGCCACCCCTGAAGAAAGAATTTTGGGGACAACCATACTGCATGAAAGAAGAACCACTCCTAATCCTATGGAAATTGAGACTGCTGCTAGATACATCCAATATCCACCCGTTTCCCCAGTTGGAAGGGTCTAGTTCGACACTACGAATAATATGATGTAGTTAAGTGAGAGAATTCTATATATTCCTGGTTTTTTGGTTGGCTGTGCTCGGTTAGATGTCCATCACCGGTAAGGGTCGCCCGGTAGAAATATGAAGTGATGAACAAGGCTTGTTTGTAGTAGTCGGCCGGGACAGAGCTTTGGACCATCAGGTGTAGTATAGTATGAGCAAAACATTTTGATTAATGTAAGCGTGCATATAAAATCCAGCGTCCCCCATCCCTTGAACTTCAACATGCTTGTTGCTTGAACGCATGTTGCATTAATAGATGCTCAAGGAGAAAACTCTCACAAGTTCAATTCTCCGATTTACAAAAGTCAGAGAATTGGGTGTATTCTTTTTACGTTTTTATTGATTCATCAAAAATTATTTAATATTTCACTTACAATGAAATGTGAATTTCTTAAGTTTAGAAGTTTAACAAGGCAACTTGCAAATCAAATTTCATTTCATATGCTTAAGATTTTAGAAATTTGCGTATGCATTTAATTTTTTTATCAACATTATTATTCGTTTTTACTTTTTTATGTAAACATTGTCATTATTTTTTTATTTGTTTAGGTTAATACTGGTAAAACAAAAAAAACATTTTTTTTATTTTAGCTTAGGGTATTAATTATAATTTATATTTTTGAAAAATCACGATTTAAAATATAATTTGAAATGGATGTTAGAATAACCATTATCGGGAAATGGTTAATTCTTTTGATGTATGTTATAAACTTTGCTCTTAGCCTTTTTAACAGTCGATAGACGTGTGGTACCACCAATCTTTAGGGTCGATTTTTTGTATTAAGATAATTTCAAGTATATGAATACACTTCAACTTATAATATAATTTCAAATGACAGCACTTAACAAAAACCCATAATTTCAAATTTCATACATTGTTGGAAATCAATTAACCAAGAATCTCCTCAGATGGTAAGTAAAGCAAAATTGCCACACACATTGTAAGCTTAATTTCAAAATCCAACAAAGGAATGTTGTAAGCTTAATTTCAATTAGTTAATAAGAGACACCTTAATACATTGAGACTAGAGATCAAAAACTACTTAAAAGGTCCAGGTCCAAATGCAGCCAAAAAAAAAAAACCCCAAATTAATCGGTGGAAAACATCCAAGTTTTTCTTCATTGCTATTACTCATTAACTCAAGGGGAAAACAAGGTATAAAATAGTTAGCCTGCTCTTTGTCTATTCCAGCTGGGGTGTTCGGTGCAGCCGTTGGAACTAGGACGGTAAATAAGACAAGACAAATCTCTAGTTATTCAAGATCGACTAGGTCAAAATTTGATCAACTCTCAAATTGAATAAATTCGGCTCAAGCTCGTTCTCGACTCGAACTCTTAATGAGCCAAAACGAGCTACTTGATACCCGGCTTAAAAAGCAAGCAAGAAACTCAAAAAAATAATATATTAATTTTTTAAGGTTTTTTAAATTGAATTATTACTAATACTAACATTTATATCTTGTTCTTTTTTTTTGTTTAAATAAAATATAAGACTTTCATGTACTTAAGGTTCGAGTTCAAGTTCGAGCTTCAATCGAGATAAGTCTAATCAAACTAATACTTAAGTTTTTTCTAGGTCGATTAGAGGTTCAAGTTTGATTTCAAGTCGATTTGATATTCAATTTTCTTATTTCGAAGTTGAACTTAACAATTTTAAGTTCATGAGTTTTTAAGTCAAATCAAACTCAATTATATATTTTTCAAGTCTAGTCGAACTCGGTACTACTCAAATTCAACTCATTTATAGTTCTAATTGGAACCCTAAGCACCAAACAAGATTGATCATAAACTAACCATAAATATCAGGGGTAACCATTAAATCGATATTAGAAAAAAAGGTTTTAATAAAATCTTACTTACAAGATCTTCCTAGGGTTTAAGTAGGACCATAAATGAATTGGACTTGAACAAAGAAAGTTATATTCATATTCGTTTATTTATTTTTGAAGGTGTTTGAGTTTGTTTATTTATTATTTGCGAACATGTTCGTTTATATGTTCACGAACATGTTCATTTAGTGTTCATGAATATTTTTTGTTTAGTGTTCGTTTATCATTCACTTAATATTCAAATTTTAGTTTTACCCTTTCATTTACAAGCTAAAGAAAATGATAAAGTTACACTACTAGTGTTTAAACTCCTTAAAATTTACAGTTTAAATTTCATTTTTTATCATGTGTTTAATATGGTCTCTACCTTTACTAATATTTAAAATGTAAAAAAATGAAAGAAAAAGGAGAACCGGGTAAGCAAGCTTGTTCGTGAACATAAACAAATCAAACATATATTTGTTCATGTTTGTTCGTTTATTAAATAAAAATAAAAAATTTTTGTTCATTCTCATTTATTTAGCTTAGAAAACAAACGTTATACAAATAGTTCACCGAACATTTTGTTCATTTAAATCCTTAGATTTAAGGATTTGGCGAAACCAAGAAGTGATAGAAGAAACTGATTTGTGAGTGTTTACTAGATTCGTTAAGTTCAATCCTGAGTAACTACGATGCATGAAAAAATCACTTTAGGATTTAGGGTTCAACATCTTTAATGGCATATGATTCAAATTTTATATTATTTAAATATTTATTTTTTAAGTATTTAAATATATTATTTAAAGATATACACAATAAGTGATGAAGACGATATTTATACAGATATAATATGATGTGTGCAAATGCATATATTCAACATAAATCATATCCTTTCTTTCCTTATAAGGATGATATTTTTATCTTACATGACATAAAAAACATCAATCTGAAAATTATTCTAAAATAAATGTTAATAAATAGGGAAAAATCTACAGATGATTCCTTATGTTTCCGGTTTGATTGGTTTGGTCATCGGTTAAAAAAAAGAATGATTTTGATCTCATATGTTATCAATGCGTTTGATTTTAGTTTATTGACCGTTAAATCTAGTTAACTCATTCGCAAAAATTTGAGTTGTAAAAAAAAAACTCACGTATCTTTCTCTGCTTCTTTGGCTACATGGTGTATTTGACAGCTTAACCAAGTTTGCAGAGAACTTAAAATTAAAAGCACATGTCCACTTTCTTGAATTCAACTGAGATTGAGATATACCAACTTGCCATTTTCTGGTTGTTGAACTACTTCAATATTTTTCAAAACACAATGGGGCAGTCTTTGCAATTAAAGAATGTTAACCGTTAAAAATTGTGTCCACGCAAAAATTTTACAAAGATAATGATGAAGAAAGAAGAAGACATGTGAAGAAGAATAATAAAAAACAATCAATCAAGTGTTTTTTTTTTTAGATTTTGGTTTTTTAATTGCTACATAACATTCAGTTAAGTGTTAAAGGAAGTTAACAGCTAAGAGACTAGACTAAAATTGAACGTATTGATATTGTAAAGAACCAAAACCTCTTTTTTTGAACGGTCAAACTGAAAAACGTTATGTACCATTTGTATAGTTTACCATAAAAAATAACTTTTTAAGATATATCTTGATAAAAATGGGGAAAAAATACACAAGCGGAGATTGGATTCAATTTCATCAGATGAACAATTTGGCAAACCACTAACCAGTAGCTTAATTTTGTTTCATAGAATGCAAGAAACTAGATCATTTCGAAACTAGATAGATGGGTACATAGAGTTTCACATAAAAGAACAAGCCGGCATAATAAAGCATGAAAATATCCAGGAATGCCACAACAGGTACAGCAAAAAAACAAACTACTAGTTCTGTCACACTAAAAAAGATAAGCAGCACCAACAGGATGACGAGGTTTCAAATTGCCAAAATGGCAATAACTATCCCCTACTCAGTCCTCATCATATTCCTGTTCCTCTTCCTCATACTCTTCATCATCAGCTGTTGCGTCTTGGTACTGCTGATACTCCGACACCAGATCATTCATGTTGCTCTCTGCTTCAGTGAACTCCATCTCATCCATGCCCTCCCCTGTGTACCAATGCAAGAAAGCCTTCCTCCTAAACATAGCTGTAAATTGCTCACTCACCCGCCTAAACATCTCCTGAATGGATGTAGAATTGCCGATGAATGTTGATGCCATCTTTAGGCCAGTGGGTGGGATGTCACAAACTGTCGACTTCACATTGTTGGGGATCCATTCAACAAAGTAAGAGGAGTTCTTGTTCTGAACATTGAGCATCTGCTCATCCACTTCCTTTGTGCTCATTTTACCACGGAACATGGCTGATGCAGTCAAGTAACGACCATGTCGTGGATCAGCTGCACACATCATGTTTTTTGCGTCCCACATTTGCTGAGTGAGCTCGGGAACTGTTAGAGCTCGGTATTGCTGAGATCCTCTGGAAGTGAGTGGAGCAAAACCCACCATGAAAAAGTGAAGCCGGGGGAATGGAATGAGATTCACGGCAAGTTTCCTGAGATCAGAGTTGAGCTGGCCAGGGAATCGCAAGCAGCATGTCACTCCAGACATTGTTGCAGATATCAAATGGTTTAAATCACCAACTGTGAAAATATATAAAAGAACATAGATGTAAGACTTCTAAAAATCCCAAAACAAATCTTAGTACTAAAATCTAAACCAATTTAAGCCCCATACAAACCAATTAGTATAGCAAAATCCCACCATAGCAAATAACTATCAGATCCAAACATCAAAACAGTACAAGTTAACATATCTAAACTCTGAGCCATGATATCTAAGCAAAAGAGAAGAATAAATCAGCGGAAAACTTACAGCTCGGAGTGGTGAGCTTAAGTGTGCGGAAACAGATGTCATACAAGGCCTCGTTGTCAAGAACCATACACTCATCAGCATTTTCAACCAACTGGTGAACAGACAAGGTAGCATTGTAAGGCTCCACGACTGTATCAGAGACCTTGGGAGATGGGAAGACCGAGAAGGTCAGCATCATCCTATCTGGATATTCCTCCCTTATTTTCGAAATCAACAGTGTTCCCATTCCAGATCCAGTTCCTCCTCCCAAGGAATGACAAACCTGAAACCCTAAAAAAGGGGGAAAAGGTTGACCACCAGTTAATGCACAAGAATATGCTAGATCGTTCAGATCTGGCGTAGAAAAATTTCCAAAGACAGTTTACCTTGAAGGCAATCACAGTTTTCGGCCTCTTTACGAACAACATCAAGAACAGAGTCGATTAACTCAGCACCTTCGGTGTAATGGCCTTTAGCCCAGTTGTTACCGGCACCGGACTGACCAAAAACGAAGTTATCCGGTCTAAAGATCTGACCGACGGGACCAGATCTGATGCTGTCCATGGTTCCAGGTTCAAGATCCATGAGAACAGCACGAGGGACGAATCTACCGCAACTGGCTTCATTGTAGTAGACATTGATGCGCTCAAGTTGAAGATCTAAGTCCCCTTGGTAACGACCAGTTGGATCTATACCGTGCTCGGCACAAACAACTTCCCAGAACTTGGCTCCAATTTGGTTGCCGCATTGGCCACCTTGAATGTGAAGGATCTCACGCATTTTGTTTTAGGGAAAGGAGAAACTGGAATGAAAGAACAGAGAACAAGAAGATTTGGAGGAAAATGATGAGATGAATGGCGCTCCTACGGATGTTTTATTTATATTTCAGAGGGCGGTGATTGGTTAGGTTTTCCTATTTTTAAAATTTTATCTTTTACTGTACAGCCTGGCTCCCTTAGATCAAATCTTGTTTTTTGAATTTTGAATCAATGGTTAGGCAGTGGTTAACAAACAGTTAACCGCTGGAAATATATAACAACCAAGTAACGGCTGAGAGGTTTCAAAAAAAAAAAAGTAACGGCTGAGATACCCTAAAAATAAAAATAAATATTATTTCAGAAACAACGGGATACATTTGTCGGCTAGTTCAGTCCAGTATAGTACAGTGTTAGACAACAATAGCTGTCACGTTACGTTAACATCACATCCACTGGTATTTTTAAAGTATATTAAAATACGATTTGAGATCCGACATCTTCAACCAATGAAATAAAAAAAGTATTCTATCCGTTCAAAAAAAATTCATTACTACTTAATAATAGTATGAAAATATAGAATTAAATCAAATTTTATTATATAAAACAACTAATTTTAAAATTAAATTGTTATTATTATAAGCATACATATATACGAATGATAGCTCCCGTTTAGATGGTGGTGGGAGTCCATCAAAATATCGTTTTAAAATTTCATTACAATTAATATAATACTTGAAGTAAGGATATAAATTAACAGAGTTCGAATTAATAAGATTATGTCCGTTATCGTTTATTTTTTTTAAAGTATTTGTGTTTGATTTGTCCGTTTAACTTTTTAATATCGTATTCGTGTTGTTTATTTATATTTGAATGTGTTCGCTTTTGTTTATTTATTGTTCGCGAACATGTTAGTTTAATGTTTGCGAACATATTCATTTATATGTTCACAAACATGTTCATTTAACGTTCACGAACATATTCATTTAGTTTTCGTTTAGCGTCCATTTACCAATCATTTATATATTCAATTTTAGTTTTATCATTTCATTTGGAAGCTAAAAAATGATAAAATTGCATCGTTAATGCTTAAACTCCTTAAAATTCATAATTTAAATTTCAACTTTTATCATGTGTTCAATTTACTATCTACCTTCTCCAATATTTAAAATGTTAAAAACTAAAAGGAAAAATAGAACTAGGTAAACGAGCTTGTTATGAACATAAATGAACGAGTTCATAAAAGAGGTTGTTCGTGAACATAAATGAACTGAACACATATATATTTGTGTTCGTTCATTAGATGAACATACAAAATTTTGTTCATACTCGTTTATTTAACTTAATGAATGAACATAAACGAACGGTTCATGAACATTTCATCGAACGATCTATTTATTTACACCCTTAGCTTGAAGGTGTTAGTGTTAACAAATATTTTATATTTAAGATTTAGCATTTATGAGAGGTAGAGATGTGCAAAAACATATGATCTAAATAATTTGATTCGAATTTTTGAACATCCGATCTAATTTTTTTAGATAATTCGGATTAAATATATGATAAAAATTTAAATAGTCGGATTGGATACGAATAAAAATATATCAAATTTTAATTATCTGAATATTCAAAAGATGAATGGGTGTTTAGCCCTAGGCTCAACATTATCCTTCACGGACCCTTATTATTATTATTTTATTAATTATTATTATTTACTTTCAAAGAGCAACCCCTCAAATGGATTGAAATATCATCGTTGGGGAGGCGTTCTTCGCTAAAGCATCAGCAGGGGAGTTAGCCTCTCTGTGAATCCAGGTGAAGTCGAGAGTCCAATTTCGTTGGTGTAACCGAGAGATGACTGGGACGAACAGCTGAGGACTCGAAGGAGCAGCAAGGCCCTTGATGGCCGATATAGCAATCAAAGAATTAGATCGACCTTTGATACACAGTGGGTCTTCGACAAACAACTCTTCTATATCAATTGTTCACCGGCAACAATCAACACCCGCAGTTAAACGACCATAGGGACATTTTAAACTGTAATGGTGACCCATATCTAACATCGTTAAAGGTTGAATTTTGGATCCAACCACTGTGACTACTGAGATTCATGTAGAGAAGTGACATGTACTGATCGAACAAAAAATTTTGAATATTTAATTTTTCGAATCAAATACGATCACTATTCCTGTTATACGAAATTTTATATATTAAAATTTTCAGATCGAATCAAATTCTAATATTTGAATTTGCACACCCATAATAAGAGGGGATCACCCACCAAGGAAAAGTTGGAAAATTACAAAACAAGGAATTGGGAAACAAATATCGGAGACCATCCTTCCATCCATCTCAACAGATTAAAAAAAAGTAAGATTAAGAATTACATATTTCCATGTATTGAGATTCCCTTTCATGGATTGATTCATGCCTTCCTCAGCTCCCTTCTCTCAATTATAAAAATTAGATCGTACTATACAAGACACCCAAAAACACTTAAAAAAAACAGCTATTAGCAGTTAGTTCAAACACACTTGCATTCCACCGAACCTGTAACTCATTATCGACCCCGCGAATATTTTTTTTTCAATTAATAAACCAACCGACACTATCATCAATTGCACAATCTTGCTTTCTCAATGCATATATAAACATAGAACTGTTAAAAAGAGATTTCACCGCATGCTAATTTCAAGTCGTTAGAGGAAAAACGCTTTGGATGGAGATCCTGTTCTGATTTGATGAGAAAAAAGCATCCCTATTTTCACGTGATACTTTTAAAAGACCGACGTAGCTACTTAACATAATAGATTAATAGTAGGAGGTCAAAATATAAAAGTAAAGCAACATGTACTCCCCTCCGCTTTCTTTTTGGAAGTAGCAACGAGAGTAAGCATATGTCTGAATGATGGCACGTTGCAATAATGGTATCTGTTAGATATATACCATAAAAAAGATACTAAATTATGTATCTCTAAATCTAGAACTACTTGGAATCCCTGCTTCAACGTTTAGAAAACAAAGGTCCTGCTGTTGCTAAAGTGTTGAGATTCCCATTCTTGCAAAATGCACTGACACATTAGTCTTCTTTCTTACAGCTATGAACCCTTGGTTATTATATAGATTTTTTTTTCAATCAATAACCACGATTTGACCCTCCACCTATTTGTGTCACCATCTTTTAGCTTTCTAAAGTTGTCACCAAGTGCCGCCGCGACTTTGGAAGAAATTACCACCGTCAGCAACTTTAGTCGATAAAAAGGATATTGACACTCAATTTTTCATATTTCGGTTCAATTCACTTTCATCTCTACATGCTTCCTTTAATTCTATTTTGATCTTAAATAGTTTATCGTTCATAATTGTCATTCAACAATAAAATGGGGTTTGCTCAACTTCATAGTAGAAACTTTGCATATATGCATTTCCCATAGGGGTCATGAAACTTCAAAAAAGCTCAAATCAAAGAGAACCATAATCCTATATTTGAAATTTCACCTTGGAACGATTTACACAGCCAGCAAATAACCTACAATTTGATCAAGTGTAATTAAGAATTGACAGTCTAAAATCGAGACCTTAGCAGTACTGTAATACTCTCTTAAAGGTGGAGCCTTTTCCTAGGCAATTCGGTAAGTATTATTTTGTCTATGTGGATCGTCCTAATATTCCAATAGTGCTAGAATATCGAGGTGATCTTCAGTTCCAAAACCATCTCCGTTAACATGCATGGTAGCAACCTGAATTGACAGGACCACGACCCAAAGTAGAAAAGAGGCATTGACGGGTGAATCACTAAGTGTCAAATACCAAACCAGCAAGGGGACAACACATATCAATACTCATGCTTATTCGAACGACCTTAAAATTTTTGCCTTCTTTGGTTTGCTTGAATCATTGTGTATGGAGTGATCATCAGAGGTTCTACAAAATAAAGCAGCACATGAAACAAACAGATTTTGTAAGAAAAATAAGTGTGATTCCACCAAGCACAATGTGGGAACATTAAACTTACAGGTTCTGTTTCTTTGCATTTTGTTTGATGGTCACAATCATATCCATAGCCATTTTCTGGTGCTCCCTTGTTTGTGAATGCAGGTCCAAACCTTCAACTGTTTCACAATCCACTTCACAATTGCGGTACCAACCAGTGCTCACTGGTTTTCTCTTTCTCAAATTTTCGAATGAATCCATATCACCCTGAAAACACAAAAGTCAAGACTAGGAAAGGAGCAGAAACATGTGTCCAAGCACACTAGAATATATTTACGCTGAAATATGATGAAAGAGCAGTATTATTGCCTTGCATGATTAGGGGGGATAGAGAACAAAATCAACACTTAAGACTCCATCATCATTCGGAAACTCTCGAAGTGAAAACTGAAAAGCTACTTCTAAATTCTGGCTCACCAAGTCGTGGATGAGGGAAGTTTCCAGGCCCACCAAATTGATCTCCCATTCGTTCATGGTTGGAAAATTCACCAAAGCCAATTGGCACACCCATCCGCAAATGACAGGCATGATATGATGACCCAAAGTCTCACCCTTTCTGAACTGCGGAGGTCGAATGTCTGGACCAATTATATCAAGACCCCTCATATGCTCCATGTGATCAGAACGCTCAAATCCACCTCCATGCAGATGTCTAGGCAAACCTGAAAACCTATCATTGAAACGGCGTTCCATGCCATCTATCTCATTACCAGGATACCTCCAAATCTTTGTGGGGATATGCCTGGATATTCTCTGCCTGGACTTATGGAAACAAAACCCTCCATACGATGCCTACCATAGCTAGGAACTGGTCCAAGAAAATCAGGTCTTCCTAGAGCATCTTTAGGAAGACCTACTGGTCTTTCTCCTGCATCATTAGGATAATATAGCAGCAGGAATCAATAAGGACCAGAGTCGATCGTGGGATCAAAATTCAATCCATGAGACTCCTCATGAGCCCTTGCACCCATATCCATACCATAACCATGAGGGCCTCTATCAAAGGGTTTGGATGAGGAGAAGGAGCTCCCAAATTTCGGAACAGGCTCAGCATCTAAATGAGAAGACCTAGGAGATTGTTTAAGATCTTTGTCAAACTGTCCTTGACCACCAACACGAGGAGCACAATCCAAAGGGAATGGATTCCAATGTCCATCTTGCACAGGCTCTAGATTCCAGTCGTCTATTATCAACATGATAGTCCATGTTTGTAGAATGCTGCTGAACTGAATGACCTTCAGGACCGTAAGATGATGCACCATGAGAATCAAAAGAATTAAGAGGTGGTGTACCAAATGGTGGGCCTTGATCCCAATGTCCATCTTGCACAGGCTCTAGATTCCAGCCGTCTATTATCAACATGATAGTCCATGTTTGTGGAATGCTGCTGAACTGAATGACCTTCAGGACTGTAAGATGATGCACCATGAGAATCAAAAGAATTAAGGCGAGTAAGATTTTCACCTTGAGATATCCTAGGAGCACCAGAAACAGGAGGGCCTTGATTATAAGGACCTTGAGGGCCATAATTACTTGGACCTCTATCAAAGGAACCAGGAGCTAAATTTTCAGATGGAACTGAAGTATGTCCTCGACTCTGAGGCCTAAATTGATTGGGAGGACGCGCTACTGTTAACCCATGTGAAGGCATTTCGGGTGAAGGCGTTGGCAACACTGCAAGTAGCAGGTCTTTGATGGTTATCATTAGACGCATAAGGCATCTGTAGGGGTTGGTGCCTTCCCTGATCAGCAACTTGACCTGGACGAGAAGGCTGCAAAAAGTTCCAGGTTGGACCTGACTAGATGGAGGTAGGCCCTTAAACCCATTGCCAGCAGGATCTTTAGGAGCAACCTGATCTTGAAGTACAATTTTTTTCTTTCTGCAGTTGTCCATTCTCTTCTTCACCAAACTTAGCCTCCTGCAATGGAGAAGTTTTCAGCAAATGTCCATCACTAATTTTATTCCCTTCTACATTGTGCTCGGCATTGTCAACCTCTTTCCGGTCCACACCCTTTACTGTATTTGTCTCCTTAGTAGATGTTACAAATTCATTACAATTATCTCCAACATTTTCAGTAAGTTTTTCATCTACAGATTCAAATCGGCATTGAACTGTGAAGTAGAGTCACCTACATTACCTTCATTCTTAGCATTTCCTTAGGGTGATGAATTTGCTTGTTATTCGGTCATATTTTTTTCAGTACCAATATCTCCAGGAACCTCAGAAATTGGTTGTGAATTTATCCCTGATTGACTGTTGGCCCTGAGGACATTATTCTGATGAGAAGATTGCTGATTTGCACCAGGTTGGAGATTATGATATGGATGGGGATGGACAGCATGAGAAATCCTGCAAAATTTGGCTGAGGTTGTGGATAGGCAAGACGAGGTGGCTCAAACGAATGAGGGGGGACTGGAGAACGTAATTGAGACTGCAAGAACTATTGCTGATGCGCAAAAGTACCTTGCTAAGGCATTTGAGTCTGAGGTAAGCTTACCAGTTGGGTTGACAGAGGTTGTTTTCGTGCATACAGCTGAGTCATGGATGATGTAGGAAGCTGGATAATTGGAGGTTGTTTAACTGAAATTGCAGGTTGAAGAGGAGGATTAACTTGCTACAGAGCAAGAACTGATAAAGGCAGCAATCCAGGCTGTTGTTGGTTAAGAATTGCAGCATGAGATTGTGCTTGGCGAATCTGAGATTACTGTTGAGTGTATGAATTCTGAATTTCAGCAGGATATTCCTGTGGATGATGGCCACCTTGAGCATGCACATTCAAGGCATATTGTGGTGTACTGTCACCAGTTGCATTTGCTGGGGAGGCTGTGAACAGCATGAACAACAAGGTGCTGCATTTGAGTTATTGAGTATATTTTATAACTTTTAATAATTAAAAATTTAATAAATCAATATCATATAATCAATGATTATTTTATAATTTTTAATTAAAGAATTCAACAAAACACCACCTTATAATCGAAAAATTATTTGTGTAATTTATCTAAAATTATACTAATTTATAAAAAAACAAAGGCATAAATAAAGACACGTAATTACAAAAATATAAGCGCCACACGCGGTTGTTCTTTTGAATAAAATTCACATAAATTTCTTTTTATACTTTTACTTTTTCTTCTTTTTATTTCATTTTAGTTTAATCTGATCTAATTCGGGAATTAATGTGTTAAAATGGGGTAAGGGAAGGTAAGATAGTAGACTGCCCTCAATACTAGTTGAGAGCAACTTCCGTAGGAGACATCCAAATTAAGAAATGCCCTCCATGGGATTCGATCCCACGACCTCAAAGTTGAGAACCTTATGCTCTACAAACTGAATTGGATGGTCATTCAACAAATAATCTTCAAATCCAATTAAATAATACAAATTGATCGCTGTATCACAAAGAATGGCTTAAAAGGACTAAAAACCATCCAGATCAGATCTAGCTTCTTTTCTTGTATATTCTTAACAAGAAGTCAAGGCTAATGATTAGCAGAAAAAAGGGAATGCTAAGCATAAATGGGAACATTTGAATTCTATTTCCTCATTATTGTATTTTTAAATAACGTTTTCCCATTGCTTTATGATGTCCGAAATGTGAAATCGCATCATCCGCCATTGTCGGTTCGTGTTTTGTTTCGACATGAAAAAATAAATAAAAAGGGCTAAGAAATCAATTTATTTCATAATAGAAAAGGCTAAGGAATCAATGATTCATCAAAGGTTGATTTATTATAATGTTCATTTTCAATTGGAAAATGACCATTCTTATGACTATGTTCCTAAATTTAGCCTAAAATGTCAAATTTCTAGTCTTAAAAAAAGATAATTGTTAATCTCATCATCACAAAAAACAACAAAAAGGAATAGACTTTGTTAACTAAATAGATTTTGATCCCCTCAAGCTGTGGAAATGATCCGGAATCCATTTAAAATGTCTATAAAATTATTGCATCTAACCATTTTCACACCTGGAAGCACAAACATCATGTGCAGTAACACCAGTATCATCAATGTATTTATTTCAAAGCAACCATGGTTTTCTTACTCTGTCTCTATTTAAGAACCGTAGCCTCCCAACATCTTTCTCACATGCCAAGTATCAGATCAAAATAAGCTGAGATACGTCTTTACTTTCAACCAATAAAGATACCGCTTCCCCCCCCCCCCCATTTTAACATTATTGGTATTGTTTGATCATTTAGAATTTCCCAATTCTTCTGCTGAAAAGTGATTATCAGTTGCAGTTTTCTTCAAAAGTGGTTTATGGAAGGTTTTAGTATGCAATTGCTTTTAAACTTACTTGGGTAAATTAGTTGTTTGTGGTTCTGTTTATTGGTTGAGGTAATGATGTCATTGTTCAACAAGTTTTCACCTTTTATGATGTTGGTTTTTCATATAATGACAACTTTTTGTATTCATTGGAATTGGAAAAGGGGGGATAAAATAATGGATTTAAGCTGTTTTTCGGATCATGCAAGCAATTGATATATAATTTTTTCATTTCTGCCTTTTTCAATGTAATTAATGAATCTTTCTTCTCAATGATCTTTGAAGCTGAAATGTGTGAGAATTTTTAACCATCTATAACTAATGCTTGTTTCTCCACTAGGAATGCTTTGACATGTTATTGCCTTTGATGTGTGTTAGGAAATAAACCGAGTACGAGTAATTTCCCTATAACTAGATTTGTGAGAATACGAAATAAAAGCGGAAAAATAATACCCGAAATTGATAACGGAGTTCAGCCAATTGTGCTTACGTCTCCGGACTGCTGCAGATCTTTTACTAAGAGAGAAAATTTACAAGTGTTTACAAAACACTCACTACTCACAAGAAAGCTCTCTAGTATTGTGAGAAATAAATGATTTTTTTTGGATGGTTTTGAAGCTAAATGAGCTAGGGTATTTATAGTTGAAACTTAGGGACTAATCTTTGAAAATACCCTACAATGCAATGACTAAAGTGAATTTACCCATTCCTATTTTCAACAAACATCTACCAAACTTTGAAAAACATTTTCCAAAGAAACATTTACCAAACTTTGAAAACCATTTTCAAAGAAACATTTACCAAACTTTGAAAACCATTTTCAAAGTTGGTTGCCAACCTTTGGACTTTTAACAATCTCCCACTTGAAGACTAATTTTAATATGTCTTCACACCTCGATCGATGCAGCAGCATTTCTAGTATTGTTATTCTTGCATGCCAACTGAAGCTGAACACAACTTCAGTTTGTCCGTGGTCACCGTCTTTGTCAACATGTCTGCCGGATTTTGAGCTCCACTGATCTTTTCAAGTTTCAAAATCTCATCTTCCAGAAGAGACCGAATAAAATGATATCGTAATTGTATGTGCTTTGTCCTGGAATGAAAAGACGTATTCTTTGCTAGATGGATAGCACTTTGACCGTCGCAATACAAGACATTGTTTTATTGTTTCTTGCCTAACTCTTCCAAGAAACTTTGGAGCCAAACCATCTCATTGCTAGCTTCCGTAACAACGACATATTCTGCTTCAGTTGTGGAGAGAGCAACTATCTTCTATAGTTGAGAAACCCAACTCATTGCAGTTCTCCTAGAGTATAGACATACCATGTAGTGCTCCTTCTGATGTCAATATTTCCGGCTAAGTCAGCATCTACATAGCCTGTCAATATCGTATCTCCACCTTTGAAACAAAGTGCTTTGTTTGTAGTACCGCGCAGATATCTGAGGATCCATTTGACTGCTTCCCAATGTACCTTGCCTGATTATTCATGTACCTGCTAACAGCTCCCACTGCATGAGCAATATCTGGTCTGGTATATACCATGGCATACATCAGACTTCCAATTGCTGAGGCATACGACACCTTTACCATGTGTGCACGTTCTTCCTCCGTCTTTGGTGACTGTTCTTTGGAGAGTCTAAAATGAACACCTAAAGGTGTACTTACTGGTTTAGCATCTTGCATGTTGTACCTGGAGAGTACTTTGTTGATGTACTCAGCCTGTGATAACATCAAAGTCCCTGACTTCGTGTCTCACTTGATCCTCATCCCAAGAATCTACTTTATAGTACCCAGATCCTTCATAGCAAACTGCTTCGACAATTTTTGCTTCAAGTGTATAATCTATTGCATGTTTGAGCCTGCAACGAGCATGTCATCAATGCACAACAATAAAATAATGAAGCTATTGTCGAACCTCTTGATGTAGCAACAATGATCTAATTGGCATCTGGTAAAACCACTGCTACCCATGAAGCTATCGAACTTCTTGTACCACTGTATAGGAGCTTGTTTTAAACCATAC